TCTCCTGCAGCCCCCCAATTGCCCCCTCTCCCCAGATGGCAGCCTGCGGCAAGTGTAGCCGGGCTGATGGCCGAGTGCTGTGATGTGCCCAGTGTGGGTACTCCGGGCACTCCAAGCCAGGACTGCTTTGCAAGCGGGGAACCCTGAGAACTGTCTGTCCGGGATGGGGGTCGGGTCCCTTTAAGCACAGCCCTCGGCTAGCCTGAGACAGCAGCTCCACGCTCTAAATCCTAATCTGATGCCCTGCCGGCACTGCTTCCGGCCATCCTTAACCTCGGTTCAGGGTCCACTCAGTGTGAACATGCTAGTTTAAATTAGCAAAATGCTAATTCGAACTAGTTTTTAAGTCTGGATGCGCTAATTCGAATTAGCTTAGTTCGAATTAACTAATTCGAATTAAATTAGTTCGAATTAGTGCTGTAGTGTAGACGTACCTTAGGTTAGCCAGTCTGTATCCAAATACTCGCTTTCCCATTCCTCCATGATGGACCCAATCATGCTTAGCAGTTCTTCCTGGAACAGCATCCTGTTGTCAAGAAAGCCAAAGCCCTCCTGGCAAAACCATCTTCACAGCCCCTACCTTTGACCAGAAACTGCCAAACTCCCTCACCCATACTCCCAGTGCCCTGTAATCACTTCTGATCTGCTGTGGGTCACACCTTGCAGGTTCATTAGTGCCCACATGGATGTGTAGGGGTCAGGGTGCTGGATGAACCTGGACAATCCGTAACATCTCAGAGGCAGCATTCCTCCCAGAATGCCATGTCACAGTGACAGATGGGTGTCTCTGTCCCCCTCAGAAGAGCGTATCCAACCACCACGGCCCTATGGCTGTGTCTACACTACAAAGAAAAGTCAGAAAAAGATATGCAAATTGTAATTTTGCATGCATTTTCCCGCTTTTCTTTTGGAAGAGGCTTTTCCAAAATACAACGAGTCTACAGCACATCCCTTCTTCCTCGTACAACAGGGGTTACAGAGATGGCAAAAAATGGCGTCTGCTTTTCCAACATTTTTTTCGGAAAAGTGGATGCATTCCTTGGATGCAGCATAGCTTTTCCGGGATACCTCCAGTGTCCTGGAAAAGAGCTGCCGTGTAGACGTAGCCTAAGTTTCCTCCTGGCAGTCAGACCTCCCAGCCTTAGGGGAACATAGTTTTTCCTCCTCCTCTTAAGCAGAGTGATTCCATAGCTCTCATATTCTGGGCAGTAAAACAGTTCTCCAGAACCATGGTGGTTGGATTGGAGTAGGAGTGGAGAACTGCCTGCTATCAGAAGTAAGACACAGATTCACATCTGAGCTCTTAGGCCTTGTCTCCACTTACCAGGAGATCTTCACTCCACTTAACAGGAGAGTTCCACCGTGGAGACCGATCTTCCAGGGATCAATTTAGTAGGTCTAGTAAAGACCTGCTAAATTGACTCACGATCATGCTCCTGTCGACTCCTGTATTCCACCAGGTAGTGAGGGAAGTGGGAACTTTTCCTTATAG